GGGGGGAGGGAGATGGGAGGGAGAGAGGGGGGTTATTTGGGATGAAGTTATCCTATTTTGAGTAAATGCAGCAACAAAAAAAAAAAAAAAAGGTACTATTTTTCCCTTTAGAGGGCAGGCTTCCAACCCTGGCCGACAGGGCAAACCCGGGCTGAGAGAGATACAACATCTCAGCAGAAAGACGGAAATACTTGATACAAATGTTTTCCCCTCCCGGGAATCAAACTTGACCCCCCTGTGTGGGACACTGAAGCACCCAGCAGCTGCCCCACACATGCCTGTAAATGCAACATGAGGTAGCCCAAATATCCACAATCCTGAAATACCAGCAGCCCCCCCCCCTTCCCACACACAACCCCCCCCACCTGATGGCAAACTGATACAAACGCACTCCACATCCCAAACCCCTTTCAAATAGAACATAAAAAGTTACTGAGGGTAAAAATCCAATTGACTGGTGACTCGCAACGTATTTATATGATCCTCCGAGACATCAGTCAGCCTGGTACCCAGTGTGTACATCAATTCATCTCACAGGAAATATCAGCACGCCACACTTCTCACACGTCACATTACAGCCCACAGACGACAGCACCACAGCCCACAAACGACAGCACCATAGCCCACAGACGCTGCATCCCAGGAAGTAGAAATAACCATCATCACACACACACACAGAGCGATCAGCCCACCCCGAAAGTATCAACACTTGAGCACGCAACACACACACACAACAGCTCACACACTTCACCACCCACAACGCGACACACTTTCAATCAAACACGTCCACAGTAAATAGACGGCACAGACAAACTTCCTCCGTCAGACGTCCAGATGCACCAAGCCCAAAATTTTGAAATTTTAAATTCAGTTTCTTAATCTAGATCTATATCGTCAGTAATTTGTGCTTCAGAAATATTTGTTCAAAATCCAACTTTTCAATGTGGAAAAGAAAAGCAAGAATAATTCCATAATGTCGGAACAATTGTTGTTATGTTGTTAGCGATCCAGCGGAACAATTGTTGTTAAGTTGTTAGCGATCCAGCGGAACAATTGTTCAAAGAGGGAAACAAGTTTTTCTCGGGGCTAAGAAATGTCGTCTTTGAAGTCTCGGGGCACGTGAACAGTTCACCGACAGCTTCCAACCACCAATCACAACGTGGAACCATGACTTGAAGGGAAGGGGGGGGGGAGGATGGAATGCCAGATGACCACAGCTCGATGACAGCCAAGGGTTCTGTTGATCAGATCAAAACTTGCTTCCCAGCCACTCCCAGAAATTCACCGTATGTACACACCATTGGACACACACACGCACACAGATTCACACTTATGGAACAACAAACCAACAAACATTTAACATAGGTACACGTGGAACACACACACACAGATACACTTCCATCAACAACAAATCAACCATTTCCACACATCTAGCAGTGGCACACACCACAAACTTATGACGTCCAATCATCACAGCACAGTAGACATCTGGCCACAGCTGCCACCGACCGTCGCCCAAAAGTTTGGTGCTCCATGCTCGTGTCTGTCCGTCCGCCCTGGGTCCTACCACTCCAACAGCTCACTCGGTCACTCTCTCACTCCTCAGGGGTCGTGGGGTCAGGGAGGTCAAGGCAAGGGCTACCACTCCGAGTCCCCCGTGGCTTTTTGAAACACAAAGTCGCGACCGTTCAGGTTCATAATGCCGTCTTTTAGGTAAAATTTCCACTTGTTTTTGTTTCTGTTTATCTGAAAAATACAAGGAACGCATGTAAGAACTGTAGCATGCTGACTGCCTGCACAAGCAAAGCTGCTTACCTCAAAGTTCACAGTTCAGGAAGTGTCACAGTACTGTATTTTGGACCATAATAGTTAGGTGTAATGTTGTTGTGTGCACGACCAGGGAAACTACTGTTCATGCTTGAGGAGAGCTCTTCAATAAAAGAGTTACTGCACTGTGCGTGTGGCAGCTGAGCAACATGGCGCGGTGGTGTTCTGTGTCTTGTGTTCATACCAAGGTGTCTGTGGTCTATCCTCAAAGTGTCTGTGGTCTATCCTGTTTGTGTTCATACCAAGGTGTCTGTGGTCTATCCTGTTTGATATCGACCATCCACATCTTTACAGGAAGTTGAGCTAAAAATCAGGAAGTACAAGGAATCTGCAACTGCGTGGTCCACTTTTAAGAGTATTTTATATGTGGGTCATCCATATTTTGCAAACCTTTACAACCCCATGACTTTTTTTATTTATAAACGGACTCTTAAAATTCAAAAAGCATAATTCTTAGAATTGAAGTCTTTCTTAGGTGACAGATACAGAAAGGATAAAGCGAAAAATTAAATTTTCATTGGCATTGCTAGACGCATATATTAGAAAGACACTGTCAAAGACGTTCCCCTGTTTGAGACAACCACCTTTCTCCTCGACAATGCGTGACCCCAGTGCTTTCTTGTCGCGTCTCCGTTTTGTTTAAACAGTGAAAACGGTTCATAACAAAGAGTGAGCTTAACACATTACACCCTAAGGGCCTGGACGGGAAGTCCATTGTTAGATCCTAAGCAAGGGGAAGGAACCCACCTCCCGTGAATACAAGCGTATAAAAAACACATTTTAAAAATACTAAACAAATTCCAAAAATCCGGAAAAAATAAAAGTTAAAAAAGAAAACTGAATGTAGTTTCAGAAAAATATAACTTTATGTATGCGCAAACTGTTGGAA